GGTATGCAGACTCATCACCATCTTGAATGAGGCCAATGACAGTGGTGTCATCTGCAAACTTTAGGAGTTTGACAGCCGAGTTCTTGGAGGTGCAGTCGTTAGTGTAGAGGGAGAACAGTAGTGGTGAGAGGACATGTAAATTTAAATAAAAACAGGATGCAGTGGTTATCTTAAACCCATATTCTATTCAAAATACAACAAAAAAAACCCCAAATGTTTAAGCATAATCATAAAAACTGTTGCCATATTTTGAGTTTGATAAAAACCGCTGGAATCAGATTTTGCTCCTAATTAGATTAATTGGCAACACGATCGGGTATAAAAAGGACATCTCAGAGTTTCTCCAAGAAAAATAGGCAGCCGTTCACCAATCTACAAAAACAAACGCACCTACAGATTATGAATCCATTTCAGAATAATGTTCCTCAAGAAAACTATGAATGTCACATCTCTACGTGCAAGGGACAAGTCTGAAAATAAATACTGGATGCCTGTTATAGTTGGGCCCTCATGCAGCACGATTCTGGCATGTAAATCATTACATGGGGTCAGACTTCTAGAAAACACTGTTTATGAACACAGCTCTCTGTGCCATCCACAAATGCAGGTCTAAGCTCTGATAAAAAAGCATCTTCCAGAAATGTTGCTGTCTTCTCCTGGCCAGAGGCCAGAGGCAAAATGAAAAACTGTTAAAAATTTTTATTAGAGTCCAGATTCTGAAGTGGCCTATCTGTAATATTTTGAGATAATCCACCTGTGGCGGAGGCGTGGCCCCGGGCGCAGCTGCAGGGGAGGAGTGGAGCAGAAGGCTCAACAGGGCGGCGCTGCGAGGCCGGTAAGAACAGCTGATGGTGTTTATGTACTGATGATGGTCTCCCTCCGCTGTGTTTTTATAGTGAGACGGGGAGGAGCGGGAGGGAGAGCTCAGCTGGGCTCGTGAGCTGTCAGGCTGTACGACTGAGTCAGCTGTCAAAACAAAACACGTCAATAAATGTGGAAATTGGCAGTACATACCTGCGTGTGCGTGCATTTGTGCCTGGTGTACTCCACAAGTGGTGCCGAAACCCAGGATAGTGCCGGTGGGGGAATGTCCGACCCACAGGCCGCGCCACCTGCCCAGCCTCTGCAATTCTTGGAGCAGATGCTAGCGGAGATGGCGACGATGAGCCGGGATCAGGCGGCCGACCAGCGTGCCCACCTGGCCGCGCTGCGGGAGCAAACGGACCGACAGACGCAAGTTCTTGAGCGGCTGGTCGGGGCCGCTGCCACGCCGAAGCCCTCGCCACTGTCGGTGCCCCGGATGGGGGACGGGGACGACCCACAGGTTTTTTTGGAGACCTTCCGTGCCACGGCGGAGGCCTGCCAATGGCCGCGGGAGGAGTGGGCTCCGCGGCTGCTTCCCCTGCTGTCTGGGGAGGCACAAACGGCGGCTCTGAGTCTGCCTCCGGCGTCGAGGAGCAGCTTC